ATAAGAAAATAATAACTTAAGGGCTTTGTCTTGGTAAACAGTCTATTACATCAAGTCTTTGACAGTTTTATCTGTATGTGTTTGTTTCTGTTAATGTAACAGCAAAAAGATGAGATAGTATTAAAAATACTAAATCTATTTTTTTCTTATTATCTGTTATGTTTTTTTCTGTAGCAATATTGAATACCTGAATAGCACACTTATGCTTTGTGACTCATTTTTAACTTGCTCTTTAGTAGAAAATAATTAGACACACGAGATGGAGCATTGGAGTCAGTGAACATGTGTGTTTGTGTATTTCCATGAATACTGTAAGGCTTTATTTGACATCACTGTGGTTCCTGAGTTATGAACAATAAGCACATAGGGTCCAGGGAAAGCATTCCTCTGTAGGAAGAACAGAAACCCTAGGTCCCAATTGGCGTGGGTCCCAATTCCATCCAATGAGAGCCTTCCTACCTTGGCTAGGATTCAAAATCCTATATAATAAAAGCCCAATATGCAAATCGACTGAACGGCAGAAGGACCAGTGGAATGACTAGTCGCTATAACATGCACTGACCACCAGGGGGCAGATGCTCAATGCAGGAGCTGCCCCCAGCCTGCAGATCCCAAGTCAGCCAAGGTGGGTGCCAGAGGAGGCCTTGATTGCCCCGCTGGTCACCCCACAGATCAGCCCTGGTCGCCAGCCAGGTCTAGGGACCCTACCCATCCATGAATTTCATGCATCGGGCCTCTAGTCTACTAATAAATAACCAGGAGATAAATGTTGATTATCTATCTATATCCCACTTTGCAATGATATTTTTATTTATCTGCTTTCGATCTCTCAAATTTCTATGCAGCTTCCTTGAACTGTGTTTCACTTTCACAATATTGCTACTACTTCAGCGGCCTCCACTACCTTCACCACTTCCATCACAAAATACCATATAGTGGGGGCTTGAACAGCAGATATTTATATTCTACGTTTTGAGGGTTCAAAGTCTGAGGTCAAGGTGCCAGCATGGCCAAGTTCTGGGGAAAGTTCTCTTCCTGGTTTGTAGACAGCTGCCCTCTCATGGTGTCCTCTTATTTTGCAAAATCTTGGAGAGAGAGAAAGTTCTCTGATGGTCAATGATCCTATCCTGGGGGCCTCACCATTATGACCTCATCTGATTCTAATTATTTTCCAAAGCCCCCAGCTCCAAATACCATCCCTTGGGGGTAAGGAATTCAACATACAAATTTGAGGGGCACATAAGTCAGTCCATAGCAGTCTCTAAAACTCAAGAATTTCAGATGAATGTGTGCACTACATTTCAAGCCCATGTTACATGCTGTCTGCAGGCTGTCTTATTAAATCCTCAATAGCAACCTCCTGAGGTACATGGACTGTAATTTATAGATGAGGAAATTAGATTTTAGAGAAGAAAAATAACTTCTGCAAGACAAGGCATTTAATGAACAGCAGAACCTGCACTGAAAATAAAATTGTTCTGATTTAAAATTATCCTTAAGCATTACCATATAAGACCCTAAATCCTAATATAAGCACGTGAGATTTATATTAAAGACTGAGTGAAATTATTTATTCTGTGCAAAAATTACTTCATGTTATAATATAGAGAGAGGAATTTTAGAAAGAGTGAATTTTATATATATCTTCACACATAGGGGGAAGAGAATATCCATAAGAAGAAGGTACTCTTTATTAGAGGTCACAATAATAAATATGGTAACCACACTGGTTACAAATTTGATTAACTAATCCTATCTAATAATAGAGAAACATGGTAATTAACCATAACTTTGCTACCCTCCCCATTGACTAATCAGCAAGATATGCAAATTAACTGCCAACCAAGATGGCGGCCGGCAGCCAGGCAGCTGAAGCGAACAGGAGGCTTGCTTGCTCCAGTGATGGAGGAAGCCAAGGTTCCTCGCCTGCTGCTGCCGGCCTCTGAGCTTGCACTCTAAGAAACAATGTTGCAATTATAGAAGCTAAACAAACTCCAGAAACCTGCTATCAGCCGTCAGAGCTGGAGCAAGCAGGACCGCAACAGTGTTAAAATTACAGAACCCAAATAAACCCAGATACCTGCTTTCAGCAGCCGAGGTCTCAGAGCTGGAGCCGAGCCTCAGAGCTAAAGCCGGCTCTCAGTTCCAGTGACAGCCATAGAAGGTAAATAAATCCAAGAATAAAAGAAAAAAGAAAAAAGAGAAAAAGGAGAGGTTGGGAGCTTCAGTCACCCGCCAGCCTGAAAACAGCCCTCAGCCCCTCACCCAGACTGGCCTGGCACCTCAGTGGGGACCCGCACCCTGAAGGGTGTGTGGCCAGCTGCAAACAGCAATCATCCCCTCATCCAGGCTGGCCAGTCACCCAAGCGGGACCCCCAACCTGATCCAGGATACCCTTCAGGGCAAACCAGCCGGCCCCCACCTGTGCACCAGGCCTCTATTCTATATAGTAAAAAGGTAATATGAAAACTGACCCTAACAGCAGAAAGACTGGGAATGACTGGTCACTATGGCACACACTGACCACCAGGGGGCAGACACTCAATGCAGGAGCTGCCCTCTGGTGGTCAGTGCGCTCTCACATGGGAGGAGCTCTGCTCAGCCACAAGCCAGGCTGCTGGCTGCCAGTACAGCGGTGGTGGTGGGAGCCTCTCCTGCCTCCTCAGCAGCGCTAAGGATGTCTGACTGCAATTTAGGCCAGCTCCCCGCTGGCAAGTGGACATCCCCCGAGGGCTGCACGGCTGCCAGAGGGATGTCTGATTGCCATCTTAGGCCCAATCCCCCCGGTAGCGGGCCTAAGCCAGCAGGTGGTCATCCCCTGAGGAGTCCCAGACTGCGAGAGGGCACAGGCCGGGCTGAGGGGCTCCCCTCCCCCCCCCCCCAGTGCACAAATTTTTGTGCACCGGGCCTCTAGTCCTATCTAATAATAGACAAACATGGTAATTAACCGTACCTCTGACACGCTTCCCATTGGCCAATCAGGGCAATATGCAAATTAACTGCCAACCAAGATGGTGGCCAGCAGCCAGGCAGCTGAAGTGAACAGGAGGTTTGCTTGCTCCAGTGATGGAGGAAGCCAAGGTTCCCCACCTGCCGCTGCCGGCCTCTGAGCTGCACTCTAAGCAACTATGTTGTAATTATAGAAGCTAAACAATCCCCAGAAACCTGCTTTCAGCCAGACGAGCCTCAGAGCTAGAGTTGCAAGAGAGTTTCAATTATAGAAGCTAAACAAAGCTCAGATACTTGCTTTCAGCAGCCGAGGTCTCAGAGCTAGAGCCGAGCCTCAGAGCTAAAACCAGCTCTCAGTTCCAGTGACAGCCATAGAAGGTAAATAAATCCCAGAATAATAAAAAAAGAAAAAGAAAAAAAGGAGAGGTTGGGAGTTTCAGTTACCCGCCAGACTGAAAATGGCCCTCAGCCCCTCACCCAGACTGGCCTGGCACCCCAGTGGGGACCCCCACCCTGAAGGGGGTGTGACCAGCTGCAAACAGCCATCATCCCCTCATCCAGGCTGGCCAGGCACCCAAGCGAGACCCCCACCCTGATCTGGGACAGCCTTCAGGGCAAACCAGCCGGCCCCCAACCGTGCACCAGGCCTCTATCCTATATAGTGAAAGGGTAATATGCCTCCTAGCACCAGGATCAGTGGAGCTACGAGGCCTCCTGGCACTGGGATCAGCGGAGCCGCGAGGCTTCCCAGCACCGGGATCAGCGGAGCCACAAGGCCTCCTGGCCCCTGGAGCAGAGTGACAGAGGGCAGTGCCCAAACCCCCTGATCTCCCTGTGGCTCTGTGTGTGACAGGGGGTGGGGCCACAACCTCCTTAATCGCCCTGCTCTGTGCCTGATAGGGGGGAGCTCCCCGTGCCCCTGATCGGCCCTGCTCTGTGTGTAACAGGGGGCGGTGCCTCAACTCCCCCTATCGGCCCTACTCTGTGCGTGACGAGGGGGAGCTCCCCAACCCCCTGATCGGTCCTGCTCTGTGTGTGACAGGGTATGGAACCCCAACCCCCCTGATGGGCCCTGCTCTGTGTGTGACAAGGTACGGAGCCCCAATCCCCCTGATCGGCCGGCTCTGTATGTGACAGGGGTGGCGCCACAACACCCTGATCCGCCCTGCTCTGTGCGTGACAGGGGGTGGCGCCGCAACCTCCCCATCGACCCTGCCTTGAGTGTGAAGGGAGCAGCGCCCCAACCCCCCAATCGGCTCTACCCTGAGCATGACTGGGGTGGCATCGCAACCTCCCGATCTGCCCTGCTCTGTGCGGCCTAAGCCAGCAGGTCGTTATCTCCTGAAGGGTCCCCGACTGTGAGAGGGCACAAGTGGGGCTGAGGGACACCTCCCCCCCCCCCACCGCCAGTGCACAAATTTTTGTGCACCAGGCCTCTAGTTTTGTATAAAATAATAATCTATTAGAAAAATTAAAAAGTTGAATTCATGCAGTAAACTGGTTACCAGATGAGTGGACCAATTAAAGAATATTTTAGAACCTGCTTTGATTGCATGAAATAATCAGCATGATGGTCAGATAATTATTTGTTTTCTCTCAAAAGTAAAATGATCCTTCAAAAAATGTAAAAAGTAAAATAAAATAAATTTTGGCAGCTGTGTATTGAGATGTATAAATAGCTTGTATTGATTAACAATATCCAAACCATTGTGAAATTAGCGGGAACTCATTTGTATTCAATGGCTTATTTCAACAGTTTTGTCTAGTGGTATGTAAAATAATTCTCAAAATTATCGGAATTATTTGAAACCTTTAAAATATATTGGTGCAAGCAATGATTTTTACCACATATGCAAATGTCCATAATGGTTATGGATATGCTGAACATCTGTTGCCAAGAGCTTTTTCTCTGTTTTGTATTGTACTACACTGTTCCTTTTTAAGTGCATTTAAAAAAATTATTCCCAATGTATTAATTGAATAGATAAATTGCTGATGCTATTAAACTCATGTAAAGCAATGGGTAATAAGATTTCTTTATTTCCTTTCAGATTTTCAGACGATGCTGGTTGGTTTTCAAAAAGGCTTCCAGTAAAGGACCCAGAAGGCTAGAAAAATTTCCAGACGAAAAGGCAGCGTATTTTAGAAACTTCCATAAAGTAAGTCTCAGTCTTGGGAGTTGCTGGGGAATAACTAGACCCTTGGCAACAGCTTGCGGAGACATTTCTTTTGATAAATGAAATCTGCAAGGGAAAAATGCATGGCCAGGGTAAAATGTCTCTGTTCCAATAAAATGCAAAAGTTATTCTTCTCTTTTATTTTAATCATCTGCTGTAAATGCCAGAGGTACCTCTGCAAAATGAAAGACTCATTTTTATTGCTGCTTTGCAAAATGAGATGACTCATAACTCAGCCAGATCATTTCCCAAGGTGCTGAGTAAGCATTTTCCCTCTGTTCAGGTTAGTTGTGCATTTGTTACTTTGATTTAAACTATCAGTGATATTTAGGAGATAAAACTTTTAGGGCTTGAGTTAATGCTAAAGACCCTTTTAATGGATACAGCATTTGCTGTTTATAGCCTTACCAAGTCAGAGATCATTAAATATGCTGATGTGTAGAGATGTGGCAGAAATTCTGTGAATGAAATGTCAATTTCTTAGGAATGAGCCTTCACCAAGTACCTCAGTTAGTTAGAGCATGGTCTGGATACCCCAAGGTTACATGCTTGATCCTCTGTGAAGCCAATGAATGCATAAATAAATGGAGCAACAAATCAATGTTTCTCTCTCCCCCTTTCTCTCTCTTACATCTAAAATAATAAAAGTGTAATATGCTAATTAGATTGGACATTGAACGACCTTCCAGATGTCATTCCAGATGTGGAGGAAGGGGCTGAGGCAGGGGCAGTTAGGGGCAATCAGACAGGCAGGTGAGTGGTTAGAGGCTATCAGGCAGGCAGGCAGAGGCAGTTAGGGTCTATCAGGCAGGCAGGCGAGTGGTTAGGGACAATCAGGCAGGCAGGCAAGTGGTTAGGAGTGATCAAGCAGGCAGGCAGAGGGGTTAGGGGTAATGAGGCAGGCAGGAAGAATGGTTTGAGGTGATCAGTCAGGCAGGCAGGCGAGCAGTTAGGAGCCAGCAATCCCGGATTGTGAGAGGGATGTCTGACTGCCAGTTTAGGCCCAATCCCACAGAGATCTGGCAGTCAACATCTCCCGAGGGGTCCCGGATTGCGAGAGAGTGCAGGCCCGGCTGAGGGACCCCCACCCCTGCCATGCACTAATTTCATGCACCGGACCTCTACTCAATACATAAGAAAACAGAATTATGAGTATGTAAGAAATAACCCTAGAATGATGCTAAATATGCTGCCTAAAGTTATCTTTGGTGACAATATTACAACAAAGTTAAGTATTTGATAGTACTGAGGAGGATTTGTGATAAGAACTCAGAATTGTGAAACAGTTGGTAGGATGTCTGATTAATCAGTAACGATTCCTATTCCCAAATTCAACATCTGTGTGAACTTGCATAAGCTATTTAATCTCTATGCACCTACAGTTTTTCCTCTGACAGATTAAGATTATAAAGAGAGTTATTGTAAGGAATAAATGATACTATAGACTTAATGAGATTAAATATAACTAGATAAATGGAATTTTATAGCTAAGCATATAACTTTACTTGGCATCTGGTAAGTTGTAGCAAAGATGTAATGGTGACTTGAGTGAAAATATGAGTATTGATGTTGGAGGTCAGAGGACAAATGTTGGGTATAGTAAGGGGTTAGTTAGATGTTGGGTGTAGGTAGGACTCATGGGCAACTCATGAGTTTGGGCTTCAGCAGCAGAGATGCAGGTGGTGCGATTTATAAAAGAGGGGGAAGACTAGAAGAGCAGACATTGAGTAAAATTCACAAGCTTTCACGTTGTACATGTTAAATTTGAAAGATATATTACACATTCATATTAAAATGTCAAGTAGCTAATTAGACAAACAAATGAGGGCTTGGATGGGGGAAATGTCATTGATAGAGTTATTCATTTCTGTCATTGGCATCTTGGTAGTACTTTATTCTGTAGCATTAGATAAAACATCCTTGGGAGAGAATGAAGAAAGAGGAGATAATTAACACTCCCAACATTTAGAGGATTAGCTGAGGCAGAGACACTGGAATAGAAATCTGAGAAAAGCAGGAAGTAAGAGGAGAAGAATTACATTAGAGTAAATCACTGGAAAGCAAGAGAAAACTGTGCTAAAGAATTGAGCAAGTGGTCATCTATGTCTAGTTTGAGAGACTGAGAAATTTGACTGAGAAGGAACCATTAGACTTAAAACATGAAGGCTGTGGGTGGCTTTGCCAAGCGCTATTTCAGTGAAATATGGGGACTAATTTCACTTGAAGAGACTTAGAGGAGAATGAGAAGTGAGGAAGGGACAGCTACTCAAACAATTTATTTCAAGAAGTTTTACTGTGAAATTGAGCCAAGATAGGTAGAAGATATGATTTTTAAATATGATATACATTGTTATATACCTGTATGCCAACACTAATGGTCTAGGAGACCAAAAATGTGATGATTAGAAATTTTCTGTGTAGTTACAGGGTTTGGTCTTTCACAGAACCAGAGATGAGTCTAACAAAAAGAAAGGAATAGAATGAGTGCAGATCTAAATAGGTTGGATAAAATTAACACTACGACTAATACTCCAAACACATGCACACTTTATATGTGTGAGCTTTCTCTCTCCACACTGTGAAAATTAAGCATCATAAGACCTAGGTGAGTGCAGTAAGAATAGAAATTGTTAATTTTTTAATAAATAGTGAAGCAGATGTCATTGACTGTAACTTGAAGCTCCCAAGAGCATTTTAATAATTAGATTCAGTATATGTGACAACTAAAATTTACCTTTCTTATGTGAAGATTGAAGTTTTTATTATTATAACTTATTCTTTATAGCATTTTGGGAAGCTAATTCCTTTTTCTAGTAATATAAATTTTCTTTCATGATTTTTTTTTGAAAGATTGTGAACTAAAATGGTGAAGTTAGACCTATTCTGATATGACAATAATAATAAATCTTAAGGGTTGTTTTCAGGAAAATTATGTACATGGTCTCTTTTCTTATTTTCATTTTATTTTAGCAAGTTTTTCCTAATCCTTCTAACTGGCTGTTTTATTATAGACTTTGTGTAAATAAGCGAAAGATTTCACTCTGTGTATATTCAATTTGAAATGTCTATTAACCATTCTAACCAAAATATTTGTATTAATATCACTACTTTTCTTCTTTCTACAATCTTCACTAGCTCTGGGACACTGGTTTTTTTCTTCTTTTTTTCCCCTTAGAATGTATATCTAGTTCCCTCTGACAGGTAGATAAAGGAAGATCTCTTTATGAACAAGGCTGGCATACTTCAGTCTTTGTTTTCTCTTGGGCAATTAATGGTCAGTCCAGAATTGGGAGGAAGGAGGGTCTCTTCATTTTTAAGATGGCTTGAAGAAATGGACTAATATGAATTTCCCAAATTGTTCTATTTGCTAATGTTAAATATTTTAAAGTTTTGATTAGTCAGTTATTTGGATATGCCCTAAAATCTGCTATAGCACTCCTTCACAATAAATTACAATAATCAATCAAATGAGTGAAATGTTTCCAGCCTAAATAAGGGACTTCTGAAAAAGAAGCTAATGACACAATTCTTTCTTTGCCAACTTTAACTTTGTGCTATGCTCTATCTGAAGCATACCTATTATAAAACTTCTGAGTATTAATGGTCTCATTTAGACATTTGATATGTTTACTGTGAGACAGAGCTTGCTGCATAAATCAGTTCTTATATAAAACTGCTGTAAAATGGTATATACTTTTTTTTACTTCTTGCTAGAAAGGAATTTGAAATTCAAATCACTAGCTGCTGAAGGAAGTTATTAAAAATGTATTAGGTTTGAAAGTTTAGCTGTATATAATTGTCAGAGATATTCAAAACAAATTTATCCTCAATAAAAATTGAACTAAAGCAATTTACATAGAATCAGCTAATAAATTTTCCCTAATTTTCTGAGCAAAAGAAAAAAGAAACCGTTTATATTTATTTTAATAAAATAAAAATGAGGGCTATCTGTAGGGAGGAAAATATAAAGTTCCATAAAAGGATGAATGAAGACAAAACTATGTGACATTCCAGTGCTGAAAACTATTGACGCCAGAAAAATGATGCCTGTATTACAGGTACCAGCCTTACTTCTAAATCCCCGTATTCTGACATCAAAAGCATCATTTTATGTCATCTGCTTTACTCTTATTTGGAGTTGTCAGTATTTATCTTTATGTAAAGCAAATGTCTGAGAAAGTTGGGGAAAAGATTAAGGCATCCTTATGAAGAACAGCCACCTGCAAATATAGCTTATCCTTCACAATAGAAGCAAAATAATTGGGAAGTGTGAAAACAGCACATGTGTACACTGTGTTATATTGAATATTTTCATTTTTATTCCAATGGCTATGTGCTTAGACAGGCATGCACTTGGTGTGATGTGAAGGGTGTTCTAAGGCTTGGTGTCTCTTCAAATACCTTCTGGAAGTTCCCAGAGTGATAGTCACTTATTCAGATGAAGGCATCTTATTCATTCATTCATTTATTCATTCATCCATTCATTCCTTCATCCTTTTGTAATCCCTTATCTTGAAAAAGTCTCAGTTTCCTGAACAAAGCTCCTATTGACACACACACATTGGTTCCTGGGACAGTCACGTGTTAATCCATTCTTGATTGTTTTACTCATATTATCTGATCACATGCTAGTCACTCAGGGAAGACTCAAAGAACTGGAATATGAAAAGTTGGTCTTTTATATCATGAAAAGGATGGGGAAATGCCCATGGCATGGTGAGCTTCTGTGTAGAGCCTCCAACAGTGGTGAGTGTGTTGTGAATAGACAACTCTAAAGCCAATGATGAGTAGGAATGAACAGAAGTTAAGACCTTCAGGTGGAGGGGATCAGCAAAGTTGTGATCTCAAACTCAGAGGAAACTCCCAGAATTAAAGTGATCTTTGCAATATTTAAATCAAGGTCAATTAGAACTTTACAGCATCTAAGATAACTTCCATTAAGATTGACTCTGTGCTGCTTAAGGGTGCTACAGAAAATAGAG